GGGGTGTGGTGAGCGGGACAAGAGGCGGTTGGCCTGGTGGTGTGCCGTGCACCACCATTGACCCATGTTCGGTCAACAAGGGTTCGTGTTGACGTCTGTGCATCGAGCACGCAGCCTGGGGCAAGCTAGGCCCCAATAGATTTGACAGACATCAATGGTGCTGTGGGACAGGCGGTTTGAGAAGGGGCGTCTCGGGGGGTTTACTCGATAGGCGCCGCCTATCGGTCATCCCCATTTTGGCGCCATGCCTGTCTGGCGCTGCCCCGTCCCCTGGCCCAGCGGCTGGACTTTGGCGCCCTGGGGCGTCCTCGAATAATGTACGTGCACACAAAGCAGCAAACGCGCCCATTATGCAGCGGTCCCGGACGCTCTGGCTGGAGCCCGCTAGCTAGGAAAGCAGCGGGAATTCAAGCCCAGGCACGCACCCGCAATGAAGACGAGGGCAACCGCCCAAATCATCTTGTTTGTCCTCATGTTGCCTTCCTCTTTGCAGCCGTCGGGGACTGGGGGCTACCTGAGGCTATGTTGATGTTGGGCAACGATGTGGGCAGATCTTTGGCGTGTTAGATGGCCCAAAATGTTCAAAGATTCTGCATGAATGAGTCTTGCGATAGAGTTCACCGCTGCTACCCGCAAGAATAAGGTGGACGGACAAGTGTGCAAAGGTGACCGGCGAAAAACGTCATCAGCTCGCTGCGGTGCGAGCAAGTCTTTACGACTGTCACACAGTTTGATTGCTGTTGCCGCGCGTGATGTGTTCAAATTTAAAACAAGCACCGCAGCACATACATGCTCGGGCGGCGTACCCAAGATGTGCCATTTAGACGCGCCACCAGTGGCTGCTGCAGGGCAGGGCTTTATAGTGTTTGACCAAAGCCGTCACAGCGCCATGCTCTCAGTAACTTCTTTGTACACAGAACCCACCTGCACATGCACACGCTGCAGGCGGCGCGACCCCCAAAAATGTGACTGTCATTTGGCGGGCCGACATTTTTGGACACCAGTACGCAACATTCCTGTGATCTTAGATCATCTACATGCAATGGGCAGCCAAGGAAGCCAAGCGCAACATACACAGAAAGGAGGGCGTACATATGCACAAAGAAGTCTCAACCACATATTGTATCAGTTCTGGGAAAGGCATTAATTGCGCCCGTTGGCGGCGGGGTCTCCGCTTAACACATACATGGTTGTCGAATGCCGTTGCTGCTGCTGCTGCTGCTGCTGCTGCTGCTGCTGCTGCTGCTGCTGCTGCTGCTGCTGCTGCTGCTGCGACTGATGCTGCTGCAATTGCTGCTGATGTTTATGCTCCCGCACCCGCAGGTCGGGGCTGCCGCCGCGGTCAAGCACACCGCCGCCCTGCACCGAGCCCTGCACCGGCAGCCGCGCCCAACCGCCTCCGCCGCCCCCGCCCACTCCCCCTCCCGCACGCCGCGCCGGCCCGGCCGCCGCCGCCCTCGCCGCGTCGGCAGCCTTGGCCCGCGCGAACACGACGCCGGCGACGAGGCCTATCAGTATGCTGAGCAGATTGTTGACGCTGGTGGGCGCCGCGAAGAGAACCATCCCCAGGGCTGCCAGGGGGATCTTATTGAGAGACCCCACCAGGCTGAACGTCGTCGCCGTCGTGCACGAGAGAAACCACATCGACGCCAGGCTGATAAGGAAGCTCATGACCGCGCTGCCCACGGCAGCTGCCAGGAAGCCAGGGTCGCGCAACGCGGGGTCGGCTGCCGCGCAGGGCCACTCTCCGGTGTACGCGGCCAGCAGGGCGATGAGGGGTATCGAGAGCAGATTGTTGTAGACCACCATCCCAAGCTCGTCTACGCCTCCGGCCTTGGCGGTGATGGGGCCCATGCGCGTCATCACCCTGCGCAGCCAGAGCGAGTAGGCGGCCTGCGGGGGACAGGAGCGCAAGGCGGCCGGGGCGATGAGGAGGCGTCTGATTCATAAGCAGAGTGTTCGTTTTGTGTTTGTGTTTCTCTATGCGTGTAGGTGTGTGGTGTATAAGTGGTGCGTGTGGTGTCAACGTGGTGCGTGTGTGGTGTATGTGTGGTTTGTGTGCGCGCTTGTGTGTGTGATGTGTACGTGTATGAGTGCATTTCAGTGAGTGGGACCGGCCGGTGATGGGGCGGTGGTGGTGCACAAATCTGGGCTTTGTCACCCCCCTCGGCCACCACCAGCAGCAATGCCCCCCCCCCTGCAATAACAGCGACCTAGCCGGCACCCACCGTGAACGCGTTGTTGACCATCTGCCAGGCGTAGCCCCTGGGGTGGTATGCCAGGTCGGTCGCCGCGCTGCACAGCGCGGACACCAGCATCAGCGCCAGCGTCGCCCACACGCCGGCGCCATACGTCTTGCCGAACAGCCAGTAGTCCCCGGCTATGACCATCCAGTTGGTGAGGTTCTTGAGCACAGTGACCATGGCAACGCCGACGTACTGCAGGGCAAAGAAGCTGGTGGATACCATGCCAACAAAAAGGATGTTCACCGGCAGCCAGAGCCGCAGCAGCCGCCAGCTGAGCGGCGGCAGGCGCCCCGCGCCGGCCGCGGCGGCGGCGGCGACGAGCGCGAGGGTCGCCGTGCACTGGAAGCACAGCAGCGCAGTCGGCGCGGAGAAGGCAAAGGTCGAGAGCGCCGCCTTGTTCATGAGCGTCATGGCCGCCGACGTGACGCAAAAGGCGAAGCCCGACGCGAGCTCGTCCGGCACGCCCGGGATGCGGCGGCGTGCGCGGTCGGCCGCGCCAGGGGCGCCCATCGCCGCGGACGGCAGCGGGCGGGATTCGTCCGAGGGGGGCGGTTGCCGCGCCGCTGCAAACCGCGGTCGGTTGTGGTTGTCCAAAGGAATGAAAGACAGTTGCTTCAGCTCATTTGATCCCAGGCCTGAAACAAATCCGGACTACGCTTTTGCTTATGCAGCCAGTCACACTTTGGACAAGAATCAGATCATCAACAACCGCGCTGGAAAATTTGACAAACGTTGTATATGATACATGGGGAGTTCGTGTATCGAGTGACAGAGACCTCATTGTCCGAGCGTATCGGGAAATCTAATTGCAATCCCTCGTCGCAGTGAGCGAGTGCCCCAGGCACGCCGCGTGCACCAGTGTAGCGGTGGGAAATATATGGGTGGATTCACTTGAATCGGACCCGAACAACCGCGGTGACTCGCGTCGGAAGAAGCACCCCTGGAAGAAGCAGGCTGTGGTCACGCAGCCACAACCATCGGCCTGCAGACTGAAGTCACCAGTCACAGGAGCAGAGGCAGCCTGCAGCAGGCGGCGGGTCGTCAAGCGCGGTGCGAACCTCGCTACGCCCGCCCCGCCGCGCCACGGGGCGCACTCACCGGCGACGCTGGCTCATGGGTGATGCTTGCCTGTTTTAGACGACCGCGGGTAGAAGTGGTCAAGCACATAGACCAGGATGTAGCCTGTGCTGGGTGCAACGGCGCGGCGGGCTGCGGCGATGGCTTTGACACATTTCACTGCGCTGGCAGTTGTGGCCCTAAGCGCGTACACCACGAGCAGCAACAGCAGCAGCGGCAGCGGCAGCAGCAGCAGCATCTGAAGCAGCAGCAGCAGCAGCAGCAACATGCCCCTCAGGCGCCGCAGCAACAGCTATTGTTGAGGCAGCAGCAGCTGGCGGCGTCACCGACGCTGCCGCCGCAGCAGCAGCAGCAGCAGCAGCAGCAGCAGCAGCAGCAGCAGCAGCAGCAGCAGCAGCAGCCACCACAGCAGGAACAGCCTTCACTGCAGCCACAGCAGCAACAGCAGCCACTACATCACCACCATCAGCAGCAGGACCAACAGCAGCAGCAGCAGGACTGCAGGGACCAGCAGAAGGGGCGGCAGCAGCAGCAGCAGCCGCCGCGCGCCGCTGTCGCCTTCTCCCCGCCCGTCGGCCCCGCACCCCACCGCAAGTACCATCCGCCGCCCCATGCGGCCCCGCCGCAGCCCGCACCGCACCCAGAGCCTGCGGCCGCGCCGCGGCCCCAGCCGCCGCCCGCCCTGGCCAGCGCCTTGCTGGGCGCCCCCGCCTCCAGCGCGGAAGCGGTGGCGCGCGACGCGCCGCCCTCGGCGCGGCATGGGGGCGGCGCGGAGGGGCCGGCGGGACGGGCAGACGAGGATGGCAATGACGCGCAGAGCAGCGACAGTGCAAACGGACCTGACGGCGCGAAGGGCGGCGCGGCGCCGGAGCGGCCGTGGCGGAGGTGCGCACGCGCGCCCAGGCGAGGGGAGCGGGCCGGCGCGCACGCACACCGCGGCGCCCCGTGCCGTGCACGAGCATGCGGCTGCCGGTTGGGCTATGCTGCCTCCTGCGTCGCGCACGCCCCTCTCGACCAACGGCTTGCATGCCCTGCATTGGCCAAGCCGCAAGATTGCGCCCAACGAAAAATCGGTTCGTTGCCAACCCGTTCGCTGCCTTGTCGCCCATACCCATTCTGTGTCGGCGCCCCCTCCCCGCCGCCCCCAGGCCGCCCCTGCGGTCCGCGTCCCAGTGTGATCTGAAGCCCAAGTATCAGGTGGCGTTCGAGGAGCTCGTGTTCCACGAGACAATTGGGAAAGGCAGCTTCAAGGTGGGCGCAGAGCGCGCCGGGCGGGGGATCTGTCCTGTTGACGCATCCCTGCGGCCCTCGAAGCCTGCGCTGCGGCGCCGCGCGGCCGTTTCCAGCTGTCTTCCGTGACTAGGCGTCTGCGGCTGCCCCGTGCGCGCTTGCACGTGCCGGGGCCTCGGCCCCCTGCGCCGCTCATCCACCATCCAATGCGCTCGTCGTGTACCGCTCTCGCGCAGACGGTGTACCGCGGCCGCTGGGCCAACACCAACGTGGCGATCGTGCGCATGCGCAAGGGCGGCAGCGTGACGGAGGCGCGCATGATGCAGCAGCTGAGTGGGCACCCCAACCTTGTGCAGTTTTACCGGTGAGGGGGCGGGCCGCGCGCGGGGCGGGGCAGTTTTTGGCGGCGAGGGGCCTGTTTTGGGGTTGTGGGG